CTCTCCCCTCCCCTTCCCTGGTTCTCCCCCTCCCCTCTCCCATCCCCTGGTTCTCCCCCTCCCCTCTCCCCTCCCCGCTCTCCCCTCCCCTTCCCTGGTTCTCCCCCCCCCCGTTCTGTGGTCCCTCCCCACGGCTGGCTGATGTCACACGCCGGCTGGAGGCAGCCGGGCGATCATGGCTGCTGCCGGCTGGCGCCTCGCGCGGGGCTGCCGCTAGGTGCCCGGGATGGAGCCCGGCGGGCTCGGGGAACAGGCCGACTGGATGCGGTTCCTGCGGAAGCTCAAGGAGGTCTTCGACGTGTGCGACGAGGATGCGGACGGCTTCATCCGGGTGGAGCGTTTCGTGGCCCTGGGGCTGCAGTTCGGCCAAGGGGATGAGGTGAGAGGGGCTGGGGGCGCGGGGAGCTGCCGAGCGGGGCAACGATTCCTCCAGCCCCATCCCTGGCTCCCGGCTCCTGCCTGCCCCAGTGCACCCGGCAGCTCCCGCCTGCCTCCCCTCCCCCGTCCTGCATCCACTCCCTTTGCACCTGCAGCCTCTCGGCCCGTTTGCAGCAACTTTCCCCTGGGCTGCCCCTGCCACCACCTCCTGTCACCAGCGCTTCGCCTCTGGGCGGGGGGCTCTCCCCTGAGGCGCCCAGTACCGCAGGGCCAGGCTGCTCTCGGTCCAAGCACGTCTGAGGGGATTGCCTGGAAATGCACTTTCTCCTGCAGCCTAGAGGAGGAAGAGAGGCAATCTAGGAGCGTGGGGCGACTTCTCTGCTGATCTGACTCCAGATCTCGCTGGCCAAGGGGGACGGTGATGTTTAGGCAGGCAACCACTTTTGCCCCGAGTCTTGATGCTGTTGTCTAAGTTCTCTTGCTCTTGTCCCTATGGAGAGTAACTTCACTGAAGTCAATATTTGGGATTTCTGTCTTTGAACATACCACCCTGCTGCCAGGCAGGTAAACAGGCCAAACCCTGCCCTGCCTTCCATGCCAATAAACAGTTGGGGGTAAGGCAACTCAGCATCCAGCCCATTTTTTGGTCTGAATCAGACTGCAGGGACAGGCTCCTATTTTCTTTAGTTTATTTCCTGCCCGGCTCCTTTGTCCTGATGCAGATAGCCACCTGACTCTCAGAAACACCTGGGTTTGACCTTGTTTACAAAACTGGTCTTTCTTTCAATGGCAGCATTGACTTTCTAAGCAGAAATACACCTGCACTAGCAAACAGATGTGATGGTTCTGCTGTTCGGTTTTTTGTTGTTCTTGTTGTTGTTGTTTTTGGTTATTTTGCCAGGCATGACTGTTCTGGTGAAAGCAAAGGTTTCTCTGGCATGGTAACATTCCCTCCTTAGCGATGTGGACAATCTGAAAATAGGCTCCATAGATTACACAAACAAGACTCTCCTTCGAAATGAGTGCCTTTATTGCAAATTCTGTTACTCTGCCATGGGTCTGTCATAATTCCTTATTCAAGTAAGTCCCGTTTGGCTTTCCTGGTGTTTAAAGAACACACAGTGTGTTCTGGAATGCCCGTGGAGCCATTTAGCAGCATCATATTAATCTGCAATGACACTCACAGAAAAGCTGTGTGAGTTAGAATTATGGACCAAAGTCAGTCTGTCGTTGACACAGGTATAAATCTGGAGTCACTCCACTGGCTTCAGCGGAGCCATTACTTTAGTGGAACCATTATCACTGCATTACAGTAGTGTAAGTAAGAATAGAATTTGGCCCAATATTTATTAGAATAATTGCACGAATTTCAGTTGAAACCGTTCCTCTTAAATTATTTAGTAAAGAGAGAAATCTCAAACAAAATTAACCAGATATGAAATCTTGTATTTCATGAGAAGATTCCCCCCTTCAGAATTTGGTACCTCATCTCTGGGTCTCCACATAACAAAATGCTCTGGCACTTGAAAAAAGGAAGCAGCACAACAAAACAAAGCTGGTGTCAGGATGAAAAGTTCTGACCTTTTAAAATGCGGTAAAATAAATTAATCTGCGGAGATTGTAAAGAGAGAGACATTTATAAAGGGGTTCCAAGGAAGTACTATAGCAAAAAAGCATAATAAATTCATAGTTACTGTCAAATCAAGTTACTAATTTTTGGATCAGCACTGGTAATGGAACAAGACTTGTTAATTAAATTAAAGAAAGAGGATACAGGAGGCTCCATTTCTTGTATCTAGTCATAGACCTGTTGTTGAATATTTCTTCAGTGAGAGACTAGAGTTATTATTCAGTAACCAGTAATATAAGGAGAAGAAAGGACTAATAGGAGTGAGCTCTATTGATCTCTCTGGTTTTATTTGTCCCTTGAAAAGTTATCCATTCCTATATAAACTAAGGGCCTAAATTCTTAAATCCATGTTGCAAGAAGCATTGTACTGTGGGTGGTTTCTGTACTACTGTATTTATTTCATTCCTACATCAATAACCTTTTCTTGCTGGCAGTTAGGAAGGTTGGTGAAATTCTCTGGCCTTTGTTTTGCCGGAGATCAGCCTAGATGATCAGGTTCCTTCTGACTTTAGAATTTATGGAAATCTTTCAGGTTATTTGGAGGGGAGCAGGGAGAATAAACTGGAGATAAAAGGTTGAATCAGATGATGTCTTAAAAATGTCTTTATTTTTTTGTAGCTGAATGTATTAGAAATATGTAAAGGGGGGGACTGATGAACTAAAATATTGTATTGGGAAATTATAAACCATAAATGGTGCATTCTGAATTTTGGGAGGGGCCTAGATTACTGAATAGGTGCCAGAAAAATAAATAATATGCAAATAAGAGATTAAATTATAGACTGCAGCATATGTCTAGCTAAACAGGGTGAATGGTAATGAGAAATGCCCTGTAATCATCACTGCATTCTTGTTAGCTGTAACCGACAATGTTTGAAAAATATACTTACAAAGATGAGACGAACGGAATTTACCTCTATATCTTTAGTAGCATGCATATTACAATTTGTCTTAATTTCTCTTTGTATATGTAGTCTGATCTGAAGCCTGTTGAAGTCATTGGAAAGGCTCTCATTGACTTCACTGGGCTTTGGATCAAGCCCACAGTAGTTGTATGCTACATTGTTGCTAGATTTGGATGGACCAAACCAGAACTTCACATCTGAACTCCTTTAATTTTAGAGTGTTATGTGCATGTGGATTCATGTCCCCTGCCTCTACAGTTTTGGTTCTGGGACAACTCCTAATCCAGAAGGGTTGGTGCTATTTTCTAGCTTCGGTTGCTGCAGCTAAAATATTACCATTTGGGGCCAAAATCTCATGAGACTTGCGTATGTGATTTCAGTGCTGTTGAATCTGCTTCCAAACCTTAGCCCCGATTCGGTCTCAACCACAACCGAAGCCTGATCCTGATCATAATACTGCCTTCTCGGATTCATCTCTAATTCTTGCTGGATATCACCAAATAAAATGGGGTGAGAGTTTACAAGAAGGAGGAAATTAAGGAGGGTTAGGTGTGTTGTGGTACGTTTTGAAGCTGTTCCAACTTCACAGGATCCTTATTTTATAGACAGCACCAAGCTTTTCCAGTACCCACGTTAAGTAATCACGGTTCTTTGACATGATGCTTCAAGAGGCTGTATTTCAGATGCAGTGATGGTGTCATGGTCATCAGAGGAGCAGACTGAGTGCTCTAAGAAGGATGGCCTCCTCCACTCCCAATCAAGTTATTGATTTCCCAGTGGAATTCAGCCAAATAGGTGTGCCATGAGGCAGTGCAAGGAACAGCAGCAGGGAAATATGGAACGTGCATGGCAGGAAACAATATGAAGGGTATGTAGGGCGATCAGTGAGGGGGAGGATTTAGTGGAACCTGTAAGGCAGGTAGGGAGGAAGAAGTTTGTGGGCAGAGAAATATGGAGAAGGGAGGAAAAGACGGGGAAAAGGGAAGGAGGGCAGGGATGTCCAAAATCAGAAAAGGCATTAGGACCCCGACTGAGAAAAGTGATGATATACAAACTGCACTGTGCTATTTAGCGATGGCTGAATCAGGTCTGCTCATTTCACTGACAAAGACAAGATTATTCCCGGCACGGACAGGTTAGCTAGGAGACAGCAAGCTGGACGCTATTCTGTTCCATGCATCATTGACAAACATGCCTGCTCCTTTCTGACTGCAGGATCTTCACTGCTGGCAGTAACATAAGAGGCAGGGAAAGCCCAGCTGGCTTTCAGAGCCCAGGGGCAGAGTTTGTAGAATGGGCAGTTTGAAAAATCCTCTCTGGACTTGTCAGCTGAGCCAATTTGATATGCAAACCACTGGGAGAGATTTGCTATGGAACCGCAGACAGAGGCAATGATCCTAGTGCAGATGTACTGTAAATACCTTATTGTGGGTGGATAATGACTTTGCCATTCTGTTTAAAAAAGTGTCATTCAAAATGAACTTTGTTTACTATGTATAACTGGTGACCTCAGGAGACAGAAAGAATCAGTTCCCCAAAACAGTACAGCCATCCCAAACTTGCTTCCATAGAGGTCTAATAACAATTGTGCAGGAAAATCTGCAATGTGTCAGATTAAATTAAACCTAAGAGACGCTGCCAGAGAGCTGCCTTGTCCTCTTTAACGTATTCTAACACATGATAATTCGTTGTTTAAATGTACTTTTGGTTTTCATTCTACATTTTCTGGGCCCAATCCAGCTCCCATTAAAATCAATGGGAATCTTTCCATTGGCTTTAACAGAAGATTGATTGGACCCTATATATTAATGATTTTAGCCTTTCAGTTCTGTGCATCTGATACCTCACATGTGAAGGACCAGATTTTGCACTGTTGCATCCCCACTATCTATAACACTCTCAGCACAAATAGTCATGAGGTTGCACTAGTGTAATGAGAGTGAAATTTGGCTTGGTTAATTCAGTCTTGCCCTACTTAATCTGACAATCCTCCTCCCTGGCTTCATATATTTGTAGCCATGGCCAAGCAAAACTTTGATATTACAAATTCTTGAGGAAAAAAATCTGAGTTATTTGCCAAAGTTTGTGAGAATTTAACATAGTATGACATTTTTACCCTTTCTGTGGTTGGTAGTTTGGTTGGTTTGTGGTCAACTTGATGAAATTGATCATTCAAAAGAGATCAGGAACTTTCTGAAAATTTGCTCCAAGGCAAAATTTTGCAGCAAAACAGCAGGTTTTTGCCTGGAATAAGCAGCCCTCTTGTTCATCTGCACAGTCAAAATAACAGAGGTGAAACTTGAAAATTTTTAGCTTTTATATGATTAAACGTTGAGGTTTTTTTTTATGGCTCCTATCACTGATGATGAAATTGTTTTTCTATTGCCCTATTTAAAACTCTCTATTGCAGCAACTTTTACCCCACTCCTTCTTTGTTATACACCCTAGATGAAACCCTGGCTTCAC